AAGGTTGAAAATAACCCCAATACACCTATTTCAAATGCAGCACAAAATGTCAAGAAAAATATGTATTACAGAGGCAAATTTTGCCCGCAGAGAGGAAAACACTCCGAAATAATAGAGGGCTTTCTTCGAGATAAATAAATGCCACCTTTCCCCACCCTGTGGATGCCTGTCACGGGGGCACGGAAAGCAAAGTGTTCGTGAATCACCTTTCATTCATTCACTTATTTCCCGCAGCGTGTCCCCTAGGATGGCTGGCCGACCCTCGGATGTCACTGCTCTGCCCCTCCCGTGCAGGTGAACTCGGCCCACGCGGGTTCAGTCCCGCGGGGCCGCCCCCACCGGGCCCTGCCCTGCCCTGCCCCGCCGCGGGACCTGGCGGGGCGCGGAGAGCCGGCCGCGCCCTGCGGGCACACCGCGCCGCTCCGCGCATCCCTGCGGGCCGGGGGCACTGCTCGGGCCACAGCGCGGAACTGACGTGCGCGACAATGAACCCGAGCGGCCGGGCTGCGGAGCGGGGAGGTGCAGGGGTAAGGGGCGGCCGCAGCAGCTGCGGGGGCTCCTGGCTGCGCTGCGCCAGGGCAGGGAAGCGCTCCGCGCCGGCCAGGGCACGCAGGAACACGCTCACGGGAGGGAAGGTCTGCTCCCGAGAGCTCAGACGGAGCAGGCTGCAAAGCATTTCCCACAGCCTACGGAGCTGGGGGTGTGGAAAAGACCAACGGCAAGGGCTGCAGTTAAAGGAGCCTGTGCGCTGGAAATCCTCAGTTTAAAACAGAAGAGCGGGGAGGGGGAAAGAGCGGTGCTAAATCTACATGTCCTTAAGGCGTTTTAGCCGGTGGGGACTGCGTGCTGATTCACACAGAGCACCTGCAATCAATCACGGGATTCATAGAACGGTTTGGGTGGAAGGGGACCTTAAAGATGACCTCGTTCCAACCCCCCTGCCTTGGACAGGGGTACCACCCACTAGATCATGTTGCTTAGGGCCCCATCCAACCCCGTCTTGAACAATTCCAGGGATAGGATGATGGAATCAATGCTTGCGGTGTCCAGTCCTGCATTAGATTTGTCCAGAGTATTGTTCCTGAGCAATCTCTCTTGCTCCATGTGCAAGGCGGACTGCAGGTCCCGGTGTGTGAGAGGGATGTTTTCAGTGCCCCTGCCTTAAACCCCGCAACGGGGTTTGGCATCACTCGCACGCTGTTCCGGCGGCGCACAGCTGACTGCGTGGGCACTGCCGCTCTTTGATGCAAACCCACCGAATTTCAGTCAGAAACTTGCAGCGTTATGCTGCTCCGTAAAACCACAGGGGGGGAAAAAAATTAAAAAAATAATAATCGCGAGTTCGCTAGCTCCGCGTTTTCCCACGTCTGGCAGAAGAGGCTCAGCGCTGCCACCTTGCGTCCCGCGCCGCACCCCCGGCCTCATCGAGCCTGCAGGAAACGGAATGGAGTTTTGAGGCTTTTAAAGTTGTAAAACGCGGAGAAGCCTTGCCAATACTCTTAAAACTTCATTTTTAGACGGAAGCTGAATGCTCGCGCTTTATGCTTAGGCTTAAAAATTTTGGGGAGCTGGAAAGTACTTTCAGTCCACCACTGGAGGATTAGGGGTGGAAGCAATTAACTTTGAGGAAACAGCTAAGAAATTGTTGTAAAATACTTTTTATAGAGTTTCACATAATGTTCTTACACTTGACTTGCTTTATTAAGTAGCCCTAAATTCCACTTTTGTGGAGTTTTTTTTCAGGAATCAATACTCTTCTGTCAATCCCCACCTTTTGAACCAATATTAAGTTGATGTGGCTGCTTTGATCAGGAAAGACACTTAACTCCTCACCTGGAGATGAATTTTATTCATGGTGGTCAGGGCCTTGCAGAACTTAACACAAACAAGTGAAAAGCTTCTTAAGCCTTTTCTTTCTATGTTTGCCTATCAGTTTGGGGTTTGTTTGTTTTGCTTTAATTTGTGTCTGGAAACATGGGAATATTTTACTTGCTTTGTAGTTTAAACAAATTGATATTTATATGTAAAATACAACAGTTGGGGGTTGAAATCCTGCTGGATACTGTGCTGACAGGTGGAGCAGCCAGAAGCTACTGACTGCTCCCAGTCCCAGTTTTTCACGCTGCTGCACATGAATACCAAGAGTGTAAGCAAAAGCCAGTGCTTATTCCTGACACCAAACCCACGGTGAGCCTCCATTTCTGTAGATGTTGGTGGTGGCATAGGGTAGAGGAGATTTGATCTTAGCTTTGGGGCTGCAGGGAAAAAACACAGTGTGATTTACTACTTACAAAGAGTAAAGGTGAGAAATTCCACTGATGTCACTGGATGTTGTCAACCTAGAGGAAAGCAGTATTTTATCCAGAGGCTGTATGAGGAACCAATGTATTATTTTTGCAAGCAAAGCTATAATTTAATTTGTATCTTTGTAAACAGTCTCAGTAATGTAGGTGGCCTACCCAGGGAGGTACTGAGAATTCAGGATTTTTCTCAGCATTTCACAGCCGTGTTCTTTGAGTATAGTGTGAGATCTTAAAATCCAAAGCCTGTTCTCAATCAGCTAGAAACTCTACTAAAGGATCCTACCATAAATTTTCTTGCAAACATATGCAATTTATTTTTAGATCTCTATCTTAGATATTTTAGCTTAATCCAACCATTATTTTGCTTCTGATTTAAAAGGTGTTTTTAAATGGTGTTGTGTAGAACAAAAATTTTCACAGCTGTTTTGCCTAATAGCTTTTCTGGTCTCTGGCCTGATGAGTGATGTGAGGAATCATTGGGAAGCAACACAGACACTGTTTTTATGGTCTAACTACCCCGTTTACCTGAATATTGTAGGGGGGGCTGATGCCACGAGGCCTGCAGGAGCGCTGCACAGCGCCTGACCTCGCTGCCCTGCTTTTCTTCATTACTGATCATGGCAGGAGAGAGGGAGGGGCACATGACACCAAACAGCAATACCCGAAAGCACCTTACAGCCAGGGAAGAACCCCGGAGAGCAGGGGGCCCTGCTCGGCGGGGCGGACTGGCAGAGGGACGGCAGCACCTCCCCCCAGGGCCGGTACCTGCCTGCCGGCTGCGCACCGCTTCTTCCTCCCGCGGCCCCTCCCGCTCTCTGGGGACCCGGAGGGGCCGGGCCGAGACCCCCAGTCGCAGCCTCTCCCCGGGTTCGGGCGCCTCGGTGGGACCGCGGCATGCAGCGAAACGCAGGAGAGGGGTCGGAGGGTAAAAACGCGATAAGGGCAACACCTCTTCCTCGCTGCGCGCCGGGGAATTCGGGACGGGCGGCAGCGGTTACTCAGCGCCGTGCCCGGTGCCCGCCGCCGGTCCCGTCCCACCCCTGCGAGCTCCGCTCCAGCTCCAGCTCCGTGGCGGAGGGGGCGTGACGGCCGCGCCTGGCGGGCGCTTCTCCAGGGCTGGCGACCCCGCCGTGACACTCCGCGTGTGGGCGTGGGGACGGGCGCGGGGCGCCCTGCGGCATTCCCCGGGCAGCGCTGCCCGCTGGGCGTGCGGCGGCTGCGGGGCGGCAGGAGCAGCCTCCCGGCCCTTTGTGCGGGCAGGTGTCCCCGCTCGCCGCCCCGCAGCCGCGGCGCGCGGGGGCGGGACGCCTTCATTCCCGGCTCTCCGTTTCTTTCTCTCTTCTTTTTTTTTTTTTAATTATTTGTATTATGATGATTTTTGCTGATTTCCTGATTTTTTTTTTTTCCCCCCCAGCAGGGAGGAGGGGAGGGAGGAGCGCGGCCGGGGGGCCGCGGGCACGTGCGCGGCGAGGCGCGGGGCGGCGCGCGGAGCTGCCCTCCTGCCCCTTTTAAAAAGTTCGCCCCGCCGCCGGGAATGAGGTCAGCGCGGGCGCTTCCCATTGCACGCGGCCATTATTACCGCTCCGCGCCGGCCGCCAATCCCGGGGCGGCGGGCGGGGCTTGGCACGCGGAGGGCGTTGGATACAGCGCGCGATTGGCCGCGGGGCGGGCTGCGAAAGGATAAAGCGGCGCGGGGCGGGCGCGGGGTCCGCTCTCAGCTGCGGCCGGCGGAGCGCGGCGTGCGGGGGGCGCGGGGCAGCGCCCGGCGGGCGAGCGCGGGGGGCGGCGGCGGCTCCGCGGGGCTCCGCGCGCGCGGAGCAGCAGCAGCAGCGGCACCGCCGTCGGCAGAGGACGAAGGAGGAGAACGGAGCTGGGCGCCCGGCTCGCCGTTCTTCCTGCCGGGGACGTACACACTCGTTCATGCACGAGCGCTTTTTTATTTTTCTTTTTTTACGGCGATTTTTTCAATTATTATTATTTTTGCCTTCTTATTTCTTTTTTCTTTTTTTTTTTTTCCATTTTTTTGCCTTATCCCGAGGGGTTTCCTTGTCGCTCGGTACCTCGCAACTGCCAAATCCAACCTGCACAAACTCCTGGCCACCGACCCCGCCGCCACCACGGGTCCTGGAGCCGGGATTTTCGGGGCTTCGGGGGCGCGCCGCCTCCCCCCTCCCCCGCGGCGGTGCACGCTGGCCGTGCCCAGCGCTGAGAGACTTTCGGCGGCAGGAGTGCCGCTCTCCTGAAACGCCGCGGGCAGGCGGAACGCGCTTGTGAACTGGACCAGCTGCTTCGGGGAGGGGGGAAACCCGATGTGGTGAGGAAAAAAAGCAGACCGACATCCCCCCTCCAAAAAAAAACCAACCCAAAAAAGCCTAACACCCCAAGAAAAAAAAAAAGCAAACTTGGACGGGCGGCTCGGGGCGCTGCTTTTGCAGAAACTCTTGTCTGACCGCGGGCGGCCCCGCCGCTGCTGCTGCTGCTGCCGCCGCCGCTGCCTCGAGGGGGAGAGGACCGCGCCGCTGGGGACGAGGCGCCGGTGTGGAAGTACAAGTGGTGCGGGGAGCGGGGGCGCGGCCGCGGGGGGCTGCGCCGTCCCGGTGCCGCTGTGAGAAGTTGCGCGCCCTGCCCCGCGCCGGAGCGGCGCTGAGCTCCGGAGCGGCGCTGAGCCCCGGCGAGCCCCCCGCTGCCGCCGCCGCGATGGTGCAGCAGACCAACACGGCGGAGAACACGGAGGCGCTGCTGGCCGCCGAGACCTCCGACTCCGGGGCCGGCATCGAGCTGGGCATCGCCTCCTCCCCCACGCCGGGTTCCACCGCCTCCACGGGGGGCAAGGCGGATGACCCGAGCTGGTGCAAGACACCCAGCGGGCACATAAAGCGGCCCATGAACGCCTTCATGGTATGGTCACAGATCGAACGGCGAAAGATTATGGAGCAGTCCCCCGACATGCACAACGCCGAGATCTCCAAGCGCCTGGGCAAGCGCTGGAAGCTGCTCAAGGACAGCGACAAGATCCCCTTCATCCGGGAGGCGGAGCGGCTGCGCCTCAAGCACATGGCGGACTATCCTGACTACAAGTACCGGCCCAGGAAGAAGGTGAAGTCGGGCAACAGCTCCGCCAAGCCCGGCGACAAGGCGGACAAGGGCGGCGGGGGCGGCGCCGGCGGGGGCAGCGCGGGCGGTGGCTCCGGCGGCCCCGCGGCCCCCGCCAAGCCCGCCCCGAAGAAGGGCGGCGGCGGCGGCTCCAAGCCCTCCCCCGCGGGCGGCGGCGGCGCGGGCGGCAAGCCCCACGGCAAGGCGGCGGGGGGCAAGGCCGCCCCGTTCCCCGGGGAGCCCTCGGCCGCGCTGCTGCCGCCCGAGCACCAGGCGCTCTACAAGCCCCGGGGGGCGGCGGGCGCGCCCTCGGGACCCGGCAAGCCGCTCGCCGAGAAGAAGCTGAAGCGGGTCTACATCTTCGGGAGCGGGCAGGCGGCGGCTGCTTCCGCCTCCCCCGGCGGCGCCGTGCCCGGCAGCCCCACGCTGAGCAGCTCGGCGGAGGCCGGCGACCCCTTGAGCCTCTACGAGGAGGGGGGCGGCGGCGCGGGCCGGCCCGACGGGGACTGCGGCGGCGTCGCCTGCCCCTCGCCCTCCGGCTCCGGCTCGCCCTCGGATCACCGCAGCTACACCAGCTTGCGCGCCTCCTCCCCGGCCCCCTCGACGGCGCATTCCTCCTCCGCGTCCTCCCACTCCTCCTCCTCTTCCTCCTCCGGCTCCTCTTCGTCGGACGACGAGTTTGAGGACGACCTCTTGGACCTGAACCCCAGCCCCGGCTTTGAGAGCATGTCCCTGGGCAGCTTCAGTTCCTCGGTGCTCGACCGGGACCTGGATTTTAACTTCGAGCCTGGCTCGGGCTCGCACTTTGAGTTCCCGGACTATTGCACGCCGGAGGTAAGTGAGATGATCTCGGGGGACTGGCTGGAGTCCAGCATTTCCAACCTGGTCTTCACTTACTGAGGCGAGAGCCGGGCCCTGCTGGAGGAGGCACCGGCGCGCGTGGCTGTCGGCAGGACTCGCCCACCCCGCCGGGCGCTTTTGTGTCTTTTTCTGTTTTGTTTGGTGTTTGTGTTTTGGGATATTTTTTTTGGGGGGGGGGGGGGAGGAAGTGTTTTGTTTGTTTCTGGGAAGGGACTGTTGAAAGACTGCTTCTTGAGCTTGGGGAAGGAGCGGGATCGCCCTCTCCTTGCGGAAAGGCCAGCAGTCCCCTTCCTCCGGCTGCAGACGGACCCGCACACACCCCCTCCGAGAGAGGAGCCTGACGGTGCTTTTTGAGAGACTGGCGGGAGCGAGACGCTGTCCTTTTCCCTTTTTTTATTTCCTGAAAAGAGAGACAGAGAAAGGGGGAGGGAGGGGAAACCACACACACCTCTGGGTTCTTTGTTATTGCCCATTTTATACGAATAAAGAGGAGGGGGAGCGATGCGTTGTGCTGAGCGCACACTGGATGTCTTGAGCATTCGCCCTTTCCAATGAAAGAGCGATCAGAACTGCTTGGGGAAAAAAAAAAAAAGAACAGAAAATCCACCCAAATCCTTTGCAAGGTTCACATTTGTGGGGAGAAATCCTGTCCCGGTTTCTTCTGCGGTGAGAAGAGGCAACAATGCTGGGAGAAGGAGGAGGAGGTGGATGGAGCTGGACTGAGATCCTAGTTAAGTGGAGAAGAGCCAGACTTACACTTGAGAGCTGTCTTGAAAATACGGTGGGGGTAAATAATAATAAACTGAAATGGATTTGCACGTACAGATAAGGTGGCGGCAGCGCTTTTCTCAGTCACCTCATGTAATATGTAGAGAGAAAAATAAGGCTGAAACTTCAAGAACACTGAAAACTTCTTTTGAAACAGAGACCGAGTGGGAACAGTTTCTGTCAAGATGTGGTACAGGGGAAACTGAGGGCGATGGCTTTTGCAAAAAAAAGAAAAAAAAACAAACCCGAAAATACAAAAAAAAAGTAGTTTTTTTTCTTCTTACTCAGAATCGTGATGGTGTTGGATTATTTCACTGGTGGGGTTTAATATAGCATGTTATACTGTCTATCTTTTCAAGATTTCTGTAAGACTGTTGAACAGTTAAAAAAAACAAAACTAGTGTTAGGATAATATAAAAGCAGATAGATGGCGCTATGTTTGATTCCTACAAAAATATCACCAGCTTTTTTTCATTCTTAACTCTTTAAAGGATTCAAACGCAACTCAAATCTGTGCTGGACTTTAAAAAAAATGAAAATTCAGGACCAAATTTTTTCTCAGAGTATGTATGTGTTTGTTCCTTATAGCTGTAAATGAAAAGACTGTTTTTTCTCACCGATGCTCCATCCTCGTATTGTTTTTTTTTTTCCTTGTAAATGTAATCGGATGCCATTTTATAAGTGGACGTATTTATACTGGCCAAACATTTTTGACTTTGTATTTCTTTGTCCTTTTTTGGTAGTTCTCGTTGTTACCCGCACCATTTTTATGTCTCCTTCACTGAAGGGCTAGAGTTTTAACTTTTAATTTTTTATATTTAAATGTAGACTTTTGACACTTTTAAAAACAAAAAGAGAAGAGAGATGAAAACGTTTGATTATTTTCTCAGTGTATTTTTGTAAAAAATATATAAAGGGGGTGTAAATCGGTGTAAATCGCTGTTTGGATTTCCTGATTTTAACAACAGGGCCGCTGGTTAGTATCTCACACGCGTGTGCGCGCTCACGCTCACTCACACTCTCACACACCCACGAATCAGCCCCTATTTTGTCCATGTTTACACTCCAATCTGCAGGCATCTTAAAGTGACAGCATCCCTCACCGCCCCCGCCGCTGCCCGCTCCGCAGCCCCCCGCCTCCGCGCGGAGGGGGCGGCCGGGGCGCGGGGGAAGGGATTGACACTGGATGCTACCGTTTTGGGGAGCCACCTGGCCCCGGATGAATGAAGCAACTGGTGCATTTACACAGAAGGGATCCTGTACCTTTAACTTGTAAACCACATCTTTTGCACTTTTTTTCTAAGCAAAAACGTGCCGTTTAAACCACTGGATCTATCGAAATGCCGGTTTGAGTTCGCGACACTATGTACTGCGTTTTTCATTCTTGTATTTGACTATTTAATCCTTTCTATTTGTCGCTAAATATAATTGTTTTAGTCTCTTATGGCATGATGATAGCATATGTATTCAGGTTTATAGCTGTTGTGTTTAAGATGAAGAAAGTGAAAACATCTTTGTACATTTAAGTCTGTATTATAATAAGCAAAAAAGAAGATTGTGTGTTTATGTATGTTAATATAACATGACAGGCACTAGGACGTCTGCCTAATGAGGTGGTTCCGTTAAGGGTTTAACTTTTTTGTTCTTTTTTTTTTTTTGTTCTTTTTTTGGTCATCCATCCTGTGCAATATGCTGTGTAGATTTTTTTTTTTTTTTTTTGGTCTACGGTCACCCACAACTCAACGTGGGGAAAGGAAAAAAAAGAAAAAAAATCATGCCAGCTAACCATGTCAAGTTCACTGCCTGTCAGATTGTTGATATACCTTCTGTAAATAACCTCTCTTTTGTTTTGTTTTGTTTTTATTTTCTTTTTTTTTTTTTTTTTTTTTTCTTCGGGAAGGAAATAAAATCAGCTGGAACTGAACCCTAACACCGGGCTGCCCTTGTCATCATTGCTACGCCCCCAGCCCCCTCGGGGCAGGTGTGTTTTGTCTCTCCGGACGGCACGGGAGGGGCCGGGGAGGGAGGGGCGGCCGCGCTGCCGAACCGCCCGACCGGGACCGGGGAACGGCGCCGGTACCGCTGGGGGCTGCGGGGGCTCCAGGGCAAGGGGGTCCCGATCTCGCCTCCCGGGGTAGCTCGCCCTGGCGGACCGCGGGTTGAGATTATTTTCTCTTTAAAGAGATTCCTCCTCCCCTCATGTTTTCCCTTCTGCCCTGGCCGTCCGGGTGAGAACGAGCGAGCGGCAGTGGGGCCCCGCCACCCACCCCCCATCCCCCCCTCCCCCCCCCATCCAAAATAGTTTCTCCGGGGCACTTTAATGTATTTAATGTAGACTTCCTAAGGCAAAGCGTAAGCAAAACCCGGCCGTCAGCTGTAGGGAGGCTGGAGGCTCATAGGGAGGTCCTTGTCCCCTCCTCCCCGCTGGCCGCCAGACGGGGCCGAGGCCGGTGACCCCGCTGGGTTTCGACGTCCTGGGTACCCGCCTGCATTCCCTTCCTGCCTGCGAATATGCATCGTACCTCGAGCAGTGTTTTGTAAACCGATTAACGCATCCCACTGACATAATGGTTTCACTTAGCTGTTAATTTACAGCTGGCTTTGAGCCACGAGCTCTTTTTCCATGAAAAAGGAGCAGCAAGCTAAAAGAGCCGTGGTAGCGGCTGTTTCGCAAAGCCACCGGCGCAGGAGGTTAATGTTTGCTCTGCCTTATCCCCGTGAATTCCTGGGTTGTATTTGCCTTGCAAAAAACCCCATCAGCAGCTCCACGCCACTCACTGCCTGCGAGCTTTCCCGGTTAGCCCCCTTTGCATACAACGCCTTTCCTGTCCAGGGTCATTTGCAAATCCCATGTCTGTGCGGTTGGCCCCGCGGGTCTCCCGAGCATCCCCGCCCGGCCCGGGGCGGATGGGCAGCCCAGCGGAGGGATGCGCCCAGCCCCGCCCGGCCGCGGCACCTTGCTGTGTCCAGGCGTGTGGTTAGCGATTAGCTTCCTCTTGGGTCTGGGCACTGATTAAAATCAGCGGAGAAAACGGCCAGGCGTGGTGTTGGGACAGGCGACAACATCCGGCTGCATCCACTGGCGAGCAACAGGCCTGGGACTGCATCCCTCCCTTTGCCTGGCTCCGGTTCCCGCTGCCACTCCAGGCCCTTGGGCCGTTGGCTACAGTTAACTTGAGGGGTTTTATGGTTTCCTGCCTATGTGGTTTGTGCTCTCCATTATAATAAAGTCCAGTGTTGGTAAACGGATTGTTTCTCTGGGGGCTCTTCTGTGACACAAGTTGTTGTTTCCAGATAGCTTCAGGAAGTCAGGCTGCACAACAGTTACATATGTGCATATGTACATGAATAACAAATATTTCTCTGTTCCTTGCTGCTTGCAATAAGACAAGTCCCTCACTACAGGAAGTACCCAGAACAAAGCCTCACAAGGATGTATCACCAAAGATACTCCCCCTCCCCTTTTTTTTTCTTCTTTTTTTTTCCTAATAGACCATATTTCCAGTGTAATTGCTTTGGAAAGAAAAGTAGTAGCCCTTTAGCAAAGGAGAAAGAAAGCAAATTTACTGAAAGGATTTTATAATGAAGATCAATGTAAAAGAAAACTAGATTTTAGGAATTGCAACTGGTGTCTGACTGTAGGATTGCCTAACACTGGATCATCTCTTGGATGTGGGCCCCAGTGGTGGATGCCTATGAAGAGGTGTATTTCCACAGCTTTGTGGAATCTCCAACTTGAGATTGCTGTAGCTATCATTCCCTCCTACTGCCCTGTCACCATTGCCAGAGCCTCTGCCAAAGCTGCTCTGAGAGGCCCCAGCCTTGCTACTGGCAGGTGTAGCCACTTTTCAGCACACAGGGCAAAGAAAAACTGCTCCTTACCTGCTGTGCCTTCACCCCAGTAGTCAGCATTTTAGGGATTTCTACAGCCACACGTGGTCATTGTCACCAGTGAATCCCACACCACTAATTATTTATTCTGTCCTCCATGGCATTCCCTTCCTGCCTGTGGCCTCTGCAACTTCTTGTGGTAATGCTAAGGGAATTCATCTGTGTGCTGAGTGAAAAAATGAAGTTACTATTTCCGTTTTAACTTCAGTGTAGATAATTTGGTTTATTCTTGTACTTGACAATTTTGTCTCTTCATCTTTGATAGGACACTGATTTTTCTAACTGCTGTTTCTCCATCAGTTTATTTCATAGTGCAGAGAGAGATATAGAAAAGAATTGAAGTAGAAGATATAAATGAAAAAAAATCAGCATAATAGGCTGCATATGTCTGTCACTAAAATTTATTTTTAATAGATCATGCTTCTTTGTTAATCATTAATTTACCTGCAAATTAGATGAAGACTGTTCACCTCAAGAGTGTATATATAATTT